TGCATCATCGAAGTGCAAAGCGTTCCTCTATGATTGGCCTGGACCGACTCCTACGCTGATCCTTGTTGGGGATCAGCTAGAAGTCGTGCAAAAATTCAACTATCTGGGAAGTTGTATCAGCGCCTGTGGGATTGAAGATGGGATCACGAACCGTATAGCAAAAGCTCGAGGCGGTTTTGCTAACCTTCGCCACTTATGGCGCCGGCGCGACATCACTCTCACCCTGAAGAGTAGAGTGTACAATACAGCAGTACGTTCGGCCCTACTGTACGGTTGTGAAACCTGGCCCTTTCGATCAGCGGATATAAAGGGGCTAGTTACGTTCGACCACCGGTGCCTTCGTAATTTAGCTCACATTTGGTGGGAACACCGCGTGAGCAACGAGCGTGTTCGACGCATTGTTTACGGCACAGGAAAAGGAACTGAACCGCTCAGCACCGTTATTTCACGCACCAGGCTCCGATGGCTTGGCCACGTGTTGCGCATGCCAGCCCACCGACTCCCGCGACGTGCGTTGTTTTGCGCGCCGGGGTTGTGGATGGAAGAAGAGGAGGGGTGGCCAAACGATGACTTGATCAAGAGGAGTGAAGGCCGTCTTTTCGAAGTTGGTCTCAGTTGGAGTGTCTCCGCTCCCTGGTTGGGGTCCAAAAGACGATGAACACCTTTGGCTGGATACACTTGTTGGTATGGCTAGGAGCCGACCTCAGTGGCATTCGTGCTGTGAGTTTCTTTGTCCCACCCCATCCCTCCTAGCCTCCCCCTCCAACCACGATCTCATTATTTAACATTTTATAATTTTGCATAGTAAATTAATTTTTTTCTGCTGCACAGTAGCCGGCTGTTAGCTTACCGGAACGATGCCCATCCGTTACCGGTAGCCCAGCCGGCTTGCACCTGTTGCATTTTTTCTCCCTTTTACTACGTATCGCGGCACAGTAGCTGAGGTGTTTCCCACCTCTAGCTAACGTGTATATTGTGTGTGTATGATACCTGCAAGCATCTACGTGTGCCGCTCACCAACACCGCGGCGCCCAGGCAGGGAACTTCGAGGTGGCCATTGAATGATGTGCCAAAAAGGGGTTAAAGAAACCTATCGAATTGCCGAATAAAGTTGCCACACGTTGTCATCCTGAATGGGAAATCGACTCAACCATCGCTGTTGCACCCGTTTTCCTGTTTCTGCTTCTTAGCCACATTTTACAATGTTCTATTTTTCTTCTATTTACTTGAATTGTTTTTGCTATTTACTTGCACGGTTTACACTTTTTGACACACTGCAAGTCTAGACGTTGCACTTCGATCATGGCTTAGCAACCAAACCCAAATGAACCATGAACACACGATTGTCAGCAACTTTGTCCTTCCGTGCACTTATTCACTGGAATCCTATATGTCTACATGAACCGATGCGGGGCACACCGGCTGGCGTGGAACTCGATAAGCAGTTACTGGGCCAATTCACCAACTCTGAATTCGGTCGTTAGTTTGCACCGCTGCATAGGACTAACCGCAAAATACCTACACTTATACGTGTGATTGCTCTCTTGTGTTTCACTTGCAACGTGTCCGCTCACTGGACTGCATGCTGTGGTCTCCTGACAGTACACGCATCCTGACAGCTCCACTTCACCTGTCGCTATCATCCCACTTGCTATCAACGTTTGTACTATATCAAGTGAGATCGATTAACTGGCATAATTTTAGTGAGTAAGTAGGTGTTTAATGTTCATCGTGTACCACAGATACGGCAGTCTGACCGAGAGTTGACCCGATCAATTGGAATTAGGGGATCCCGCTTTTTTACATCGCTAATATGACAATTCGACAATTTCAATGCCAGCTAGGGGTCTCCCAGAGACCCCACTGGGACACAATGTTCATTCATTCCTGCACGTAACCTAGGCAGACGGATTTCAGGCACCAGTTGGTGCCTTCGACGAATCCAGACTGGAAATTGGCGGCTTATGACAGAGTGATCCGTGAATGACGTTTCAAACGCCGGTGCTCTTTTGCTGCTTTACTTACATCCATCCGGTATTGTGCACTCTTCTCCCACTAATGCGCTGCGCTCCTTGAATTCGGATTTCCCGTACTCATTGCGTCTGCTTGATTCATCATCTCCGCCTGCACTTACTAGCAGACTACACCGCCTGCATCTCCACTCCCTTATGTAGCACATATTTAGGGTAAACTGGACAGCGTTAGGACAGCAGCAGACGTGCAGATTGATTCAGGGCTGGTCCTCACTTTTCCGGTGCGCGCATCGATGGTACGATTTTGGGACAAATGTTGGCACTTAACGTACACAAGGTATCGAGTGAACCGCAACTCGTTCCATATTAGAGACACTTTAAACCTCGAGTCCTCTCGAGGGCTGTGTGTCGAGCCACTTTGGCAATGATTGCTGATCTGTTGCAGCTATTGACCTAGGTGGCGGCTTCGAGCGCAGAGCACTTTGTTGACACGCGCATAAAATTCGTCTAGATCTTACCTATAACGTTGGTGCCACTCGTACAAGTGTAGCCCAACTGCTGACGGGTAGTCGACTAGTTCAAGCATCTGGCTTGCAATCTCTAGGTTACCGGTATGCCTAGTAGGCACACGACTGCTAGTGATTGCATGGCAGTGGAACTTCGAAATGCGGTGCCGAGGCACTCTTGACGTTTTCTTGTCCGATTGCAGCGACGGTCCATCGTATGTACTATGTCAGTTGCTTTATCTGTACAATCGCTGTAAGCAGTGTTTTGGTTACCTGCGTTGATGTTCACGCACGTTAATTGTCTTGTTTAGCATTGATTCGTCATGCCAAGTCGGCTACAACACCCTACTACACGCACTGTAAGGTCCTACAACTGATGAAAACTTGCTGATGTCCATTTATTTCTGTCACCTTCATTGCAAGCGGTACACTAGTCCTTTTTTATTCACCTGGGTAACTGTGTCCTCGATTGGTGGACCGTCAGCACCGATCGATTGCTATTCCTTTCCGGTATCGGAAGTTTACAACTGGTTAGCGACAAACCCGCCTCAGGCGGCTTTTGATAGCACAGTTTTTGATTGACTTTGTTTATTTTCCTGTTTGTTTAGGTTATGCAGGTGCAGTTCCAGTGACCGGATTAACTAAGACTTCTTTCGAAGTGAATCACAGTCCTGACCGACATTGTACGTCGCAATCCATTCACACATCGAGTACTTCAAAGTGATCCCCACTTATTTGTGTCTTGGTAGACAACGTAACTTCGGAGCAGTAGTAAAGTGGATTTATTCTGCAGATATTCAGCCATCTTTGAACTTTTATGCGATGGTAACCGTATAACTTATTCTGTATTTGTTGATTCATCATACCTAAATCTAGGTCCTCGGACCAATGCCTTAAACCCTTTGAACTCACCGTCTGAAAGATATGGGCAAACGCTTCATGCTATTGTACGTATACACATAAAATTTCCAGTTCTCTCGTTCAAGCCACTGTTTGGAAGTCACTGAAGGATAGACATTTTCCAAATCTTTTCTTACGTCGCCCATCAAAAATAAAATTCAGTTTAGTCCTGTTACAGATGGAAAAACCTCAGCGGTGCATTACCATTAACTAGGGCTGGTGTGGAGTGATCCACTCTATCAACTCAACCTCACAGCGCTTGATCCTAATGGAGCTACAAGGAGGTCTTCTGTGAGTGCAATTCGTCGGTCCTCCTTCAAACGCATTCATGATCAATTTGGGGCTCACAACCTACGGCTTCAGATACATCACATCTACCTCCTTGCCTCTGAAATTTGACATGTCCTTGTACCTGGGCTCTTCTTCTACCGGAAGTTGAGGTTGTTCATGACATTTGACTGCTAGTAAACTTTATCTGTTGCGTATGACCAACTTCCGCTGCTTGCCTTCCATTGCGTCTCCGGATATACATTGCCTGTGAACGTATGCACTTAGTCATGTGGCCCCGCAACACAATGGGATTCAATCATCACAAAAATTGCGCACCATTAACTCGCTTTGGAGGTATTTGGTCCTCCCTAATTCTCCTATGTCCTGAACCCACGTCTGTTTTTTCCTACATGCTGATTTTGTGTGCTCGTTCATTTTGATCAGTGCATCCATTGCCCGCCTATTGTTCGTTTTATGATTATCATTTTTGGATGTTAGTTGATTTCTATTTTCACCTGCATGCTTTAACACGAATCAATGAGATTTTTGGTGCCGAAAATCTGAGGGTAACTTGATAGTCCATATTTCCCGTTATATCAACTTAAGACATACTTGAAGCTCTTCACCTATGACTAGTATTCATACGCGCGATTTTATTCATCTCGAACCACGTGCTTGACTTATCTCGGTATACACTGCACTCTGGTTCAACGAGCGTCGTTTTGTCTTACGTGACCTCATCGCTTCAAGGTGTACCGAGGCACATTCGTTGTTCTTACGTGTGTTCTACTTACCTGCAACACTGATTCATCTGACTGTGCTATTCATGTTGTGAGAGATACGCGCTGATCTCTTGGATAAACAGTCGAATTACAGAACCGCACACTCTGTGTTTACTCATGCATGCTGTTGTTTCCTCGCGAATTCTCGACTGTACTCTCATTCACGTTGGATTTCGGTTAGACTTTGTGACAATTAGCCTTCCAACAAACCACGCGGTTCCATCAATCAGATCCGTTGATGGCGTAATGATTTCCTCACTCTGTTCGCCATGTGCTCTCCTCCCTTGTGCACTGGTTGCATCTAGACTATCTATTGATGCACATTCCCAGGAGCATGCTCCCGTGCGTGATGCTCTTGGGGCAGCGCAGTGTTTAATGTATAATTCACCAGAGGTTTCCTGCCAACCGTCGCTTTGTGGGATGACTGGACCTCATCTCATAGGCGCGCTCTCTTACTACACCTACATATATGGAGTTTTTTCCTATTTCAGTCATGAAGTGAATATTTAGCGTAACGATTTTGTCCCACTCGCCATAACACGTCATTCCCACACTTCCATGGTTTGCAGTTGCTGACAGAAGCCTCTCCCCCCAGCTAGTCTTGGGACGCACACGTTCACACGCCCGGCAGATTTGATTACGTGCGCCCTTCAGGTGAGTAGTCTTTTTATTAGACTCACCTTCCTTTTATCCTCTCTGTATTCACTATGCACACGTTTGTCTCGACGACTAAAGCCAATTTGGTTTCTTCGGGATTTGAGGCAAGGTTGCTTTGTCTATGTCAACTTTCTCAGAGGGGAAACTTCACTGAATGAACAAGCTATAAAGGGCACTCATTCGCTCGCACACACACACACACACACTCAAATGTTGTGTTATTTGCATGTTATGTGTTCACGAACATACACCAAATTCGCTTAGTTAGTCCACCTCAATCCAAGTGTGAGAGTAATTTACAACAACTGGACATTCACCTCCTCACGCCTAGAACAGTGCGATAACGTCATTCAAGGTCGAGGCAACTGGTTTCTCACCCCAAACGTGGGTGGTCAAATTATGTTTAGTAGGTCGAAAGTCCAACCCCATGCACGTACGTATTAAGTGTTTCCGCTGCTCGTTCCATGCCTGAATCGTTTTCAATGCATCTGTGTGATGTGGTTGTCTTCGGGATAAGGGATATCAGCCTTCTATGGACTAAGTAGAGCATTCGTTTGGCAGTTAGACACAGTGTGTGTGCACTGCACTCCGGTACGTGTTTGAGACTCGGTCAGCACACACGGAGAGCCGTATGGAACTGTTTGCTTTTTCTGGTTAAGTGAATATTTCCTATTGAGGACAATTGCCAGATTAGTGATCGTAGTCAGACTGTTGGTATGCGCCGATCCCCTGAGTTTGAAGGAAGTTCCTTACAGGTATCCCCCAGACATGGAGAGAAGCAAGAACTAGATTGTACTGCGACGTACTTGTTAATCGCTCACCGTTGCTTTTCTCGTAGTTCACGCAACATTGACGTAGAATTTAGTGAAAAATCGGCTGTACCGTATCTGAACACTGTAATGTGGGAGCAAGTAGAAATTGGAATCTGCACAACTCCATCGAAATATGATCGAAAATGTTAAAAAAAATCAAACTATGATTTGTCAATACGCTGATCGTTTTTTACATTTTCACGTTGTATTGTCAAAAAGTCGCAGTAGATCAGGTAGAAAAGATGCGAGATGCCTGTGGATAATCGTTCACGGAATGCACATCCAATGGTCGTTTGAATACCCGCACTGAGTTCGCTTCCACTATATGCTCCGACAAACCGTTCCAAGCACAGGGGATGGGAGACTCGCTCCATAGCTAGTTATTCATTCACTTTGGTCATCTGTATCTTTTGTGTTTCTGTTGTTTTTTGGTCAGCAGAGGACGCGGCTCTAGTCTTGTGTCAGAAATCGCACGCATTTCGTGGGTCTCAGCACTTATTCGAACTGGACTGACTCCCATATTTTTATTGAATTTGCTACTCTGTGTTTTTGATTCGCACAGGCACCGTCAGGCAGCATTTACTCACTAGTATTTTCGCATTATCCATCTATTTTAACCGGATCCACATGGGGATTATTGTGCGCACCATTCATGCAAACGCGCGCACACTTGAGAATTGCCTGTATTGGAATTACAATGAGTGCATTTTAAGCTAAAATGTCAAAGGCATCTCGCGGGCTGATATGGTACTTCTTCCAGACATTTAACGCACCTACTGGCGTGAAAACATCCTAACGCGACATGTTTGCGACGAACGCAGTGCGCTTGCGAAGTTGGAGTGCGGTCGTTTGATTTGAAGGATCGTGTAAACACGATCACAGCTTGGCAGTGTGTTCTAGATATTAGCCGTGATGCCTGTGTGTGGGAAGTTGCCTATCGTCTGCTTATTTTTCTTAATTGTTGCTTAGTGAATCCGGCACAAAAATCGATTTCGGTATTCCCTGTCTCATTTCATTGTCATTTACCGCCCACAGGTACTGTGGGAACTCACTACGACAGGCGCTCGTTTTCAAAACCGATTGTTTCAGCTGCCACACCGGACCAACATGTGCTCACTTTCCCAACGTGAGCGTGATCAATCACTAGTCTTTCTCGTCCCACACATTCTTCTTTCCATAATCATCGCGTCATTGGGACTTGCTCGTTTCGATGCCTTTTTTACCTCACCTTGCTGCGACTTGATTGCAACTCCGTCTCCTTTACGTTCCCGTTCGCAATTTGTATCTTTCTGATAGATTTAACGTACTCGACCTCGTGATCCCTCTTCAGCTCTGCGATACACGTCGTATTTTCCACACTTGTGCTTTAGCTTCCCTCCCCCCCCCCACTTGATGTGGTACTGAAAGTCGGTGTACTGTGGAATCCGTACAAGATGACGACTTTTTCGGAGCTATATTTCCACTGAGTTATACAGCATTTTCCCCATCCTCCTTTCCACCTCTCTTCTCAATCCGATTAGCGGTGATCTCTGTATTTGTACTTACATATTGAGTTGTTCTGTCTTTTTTTCCAAAAGTAGTAGATATTACATTTTTGGACCCTTCTTTATTACGCCATGCGCCTCCTACAGCTTTTTACAGCTCCTCGTCGCTTAGTGCATACGTTTGAATCACTTGGACATTGTGTAGGAGGACTTTTGGTGATACTTCACATGTTCATCCCTGCTGCTTATAAGCCATATTAGTCTAAACGCAATCCGGAAAGCATCAGCCGATCGTTTAGCCCTATTGGGTCTGATCAATGGCGCATTCCCTCAGTCCCCCGCTGGGGATCGGACTGCTAGCACGTTACGCTACGGAGGACGGATGCCGATCATTTGAACTAGCAGACTAATTGGGATGTGGCGCAACCTATCCTCCTCTTCCATGCAGGTTTTTACCATTGCAGAAACCATTGGCTATCCTCGGTTGATACGACCTTCAAAACACAATAACCATGTCCGCATAACATTTGAATTCTGTGAAGCCGAGTATTTAGATTATAGATGAGTAGGATTATTGTTGATGATATCTTTGTTCATCCCAGCTGCTCGAAAGCCACAGTAGCAGGACCGCACTCTGGAAATCAGCAGACCATCATTTCGCTCTTTATGTGAGCCAGTTAGTGGTGCTCATTCCTGCGGAACGCTGCTGGGGATCGTAACGCCACATCCGCTATCAGATTATGCAATCTAGCCAGCAGGTTATGAAACAGACATGGCATCGGAGGCAGAACATCGGAACTTGCAAGCTATCTGGGATATAATGCAACCTATCCTCCTCTGCCATCCAGGTTTCTACCATTTCAGAGGACAGACGTCAGGGGTTACCGCTTCCATTACACAGTATCTATATCGGCATAGCATTTGAAGAAGTCTGAGGGCGGATGTTTAAAGTACTGAGAATGCATGTGTTATCGGTCTGCGCCGTTAATTCCGAATACCCAGCTACGCACGTATCGTCCCAAATCGTTTAATTTTACCTCATTTTCTAACCAAATATGCCGTTACTCTTCGTAAGTAGTGAGAAACTAATCTCCTTTCACCCTTCACTTTTTCGCGATAACACGAATCGTTGTTATATTTTTCAAACTTATCAGGCCGGCATAACGTTCACTTGGATAAGCAGACACTATGTATGCAATATTACTCCTTTGAATGCAAAACCATACTCGGTTCCGCGCTGTGCCCAACCGAGATTCACCCGACTGCCATCAAAATACGGTTGTTGCATGCCCACCACACTCTGGTCACTTGATCTAAGTGTGCCCCAAGTGTAAACCTTGGTTCTCTCCATCGGCTTATACGTAATCGGTCTGGTTCTGTTTTGTTTATGGTCACATCTACGTTGAGTACTTTAGTGAGTCCTCTGTTTCAGCTGCTCAGTCAGGTTTATTTAGATGACAATTCTCTGTACACCTTGATTTATGTTCCCAGTTTCTATGTTCTTCCAGTCATATGATCGTGCAACGAAGTACGCTGAACCCTTGAGCACTCCGATTTGTGAAACGACGTTCTTGAGGTTGTTTGATTTTCTCTTCTTCACTTCTATTCACTACCCAGGATACGTGAAATGCACAACCCATTTTTAAGTCGTTTAGTATCTGCGATGTTGAAGCGCAGTGGTCTGTAGATGGTGTAAGTTTTCTGACCTGATTGCAATCAACAAGGCTATGTAACCGTGCTTTGTTGTTGTATTACCATGCGGGATCGTTGAAAACTGGCCGGTGGCCGAATAGATTATGCGCTTGCCTGGTAATCCGGAGGTCACCGGTGCGAGCTTGCGTAAGGGACCGGACAACTCTCGCAGTATCCTTAGCCCACGCGTGACTGATGGCGGTTGCGTGGGAGCGAAGTGTCGGTACAGCGTGCTGCTGATGTCTTTTAAAGCGATCTGATCCTCATTGCTTTTGGCGCTGACACATGTGGCTAGTGACTGTCGTTCTTCACAATCTCATCTTTTAATTCATACCCTATCTGCCTGGCCTATCGGTTCGCACACTAGATCTTGCAAACGCGATGTAACACTGATGACCCCGACGATAAGGGCTAGGTGTCATGTCTTTAGCTCGGCACTAGATGAGGTGTGTAGCACTCGCTGACTCTTCTTCCCGCTTCGCTCACCTACTTTGCTCACTTGGTGAATCTACTGACCATAGTGCTTCGATAGTGCAGGTTCATCGGCTCTATTTCCGTATATCTACTGTGAGTATTCCACCACTCCGTAACTTTTATCACGGATACTCCCCCAGTACATGAACTCCGGTTTGTTTGAAAGGTAGACACGTCCGGAGAGGTTTGAAGCAATTCCCCTATGATAACAATCCTGCAACTGGCTAATTTTCACTGGTCTTGCTACTCCGTCTGGATTCTTGCGACTACCTTCTTCGCTGATGTTGCCATTGTAGTTGTCCAGACGGTTTGTATGGAGTTAGTCGGTTAAAACGAATCGCAATTCTATCTTCCTTTGGCCGTTCATCAATACCTTAGTAACTATCAAGGTTTTGAGCTCACTAAGCAGTTTGTTTTGAATTCTGTTAGTCATCTCTGCTAAAAGTACAGGAGAGTACGATTGCTTTGTTTCTCATCGTCCTCTTCTTCGAAACTTATTAATGCAGAGAAAGAAATACGTTTGAACTAGCGATTTTTCGACTGCATTACTTGCAAGTAATTAACGTTTCTTCTTCATTTTTTACAAGACGCTTTAATAGGCGTTCTAAGCTAATTACAAAATATTAGCCCATGAATCATAAATTGATCGCTCATAAAGTTTCTCAACCGAGCACCTTTCAACTGGTCCGATGTTATGTTGAAAACCACTATACTTGGGTTTCCAAATTAATTATGTCCGTTGATTTCTATTTTGCTTAAGAACACATCCATTCGATCCTGTGTCGATCCATCAATAGACGTTTCCGTATTAGAGTAGTTGGAGCTGGCTTGGCTGCATTGAATTTCCAGTGAGTATTTCGAAATCGAAAGAGAATTTCCGTCAATCAGCTGTGCTTGGTAGTAACAGTTGCAGAAGCTTGCTCCGCAATGCGCAATAACGTGTATTGGAGAACAGCATGTCACTTTGGACTTTAGTGGGACCTCAATTCCAATAGACATTCGGGTCGGCTAAATCGTCGCTTTGTCGGACATTCTGAGAGGACAAATAGAGGATTTCAAGTTGGGGTGGCATACCTGGTTGCAGGAATGGGTCAGACAGTGGATACATTGTAACTCTATTTCATGCGAATGAGCTTTGCTCGGGTGACTCTCGTCTCAACTCCAGGGGTTTTTATCACTCCGCTGTAGCCGCTCATAAGCCTTGACAAGTACGTTGAAGATGCTCGTCACAAAACCGACTTGTTGCAATCAACCCTCAGTCCCATTTCGTGTTAATGTGCAAGTATCCAATTGGTCAACATGGGGTCAAACAAGCCGTTGATCTAGACTGACTTCCCCGTGAAGCTGTTTATCATGGCTTACATACCACACTAGGACTTTGCTGTATGATTCCACTGACTTAAAGCACTGGTGATCCACACTTGTGAAGAAATAGAGGGATTTGCTGACCACGCGGGCCTTTGGTAGGTCACACAGTGTTCATCTGAACTTGGATAGGCGGTGCAATCTGTCATCTAGCCGGATGACCCTGGCGGTTGATATCTTTCCGAATGAGGTCTGCTTGACGCGGGTAATCCGCACGAAAGTCGGCATTGGCGGTGCGGACCGGTTCCACATACATGCTTCGTTCGTGCAAACCATTTATTCGCTGTTCCTCTTCTGACGGTTCACGGCAATGCGCTTGCTTCCTGGTGCTGCAGCTCTCACGCAAGCAGTTCACAGCCACTCATATCCATAGAATATACCAACTACGCAAGCTTTCGACATGAGCCAAAGATCATCTTGAGGCTGGCTGGCAATCCACTTCACAAGTCGTATCCTGGGATTCCTACATATAAGTCTTATACTTTCGGTGAAGTAATTTCGTCAAGGCAGAGAGAAGACAGCGGTTGCGATATGTCAACATTTCGATTGTTATCTTCAGTCGCAAACACAATATGAGCAAACACACAAAGGATTATATGCCTATATTTTGTTGAAGTAATTGCCATCTTTGGTAAAATAATAAGATGATAGTCCGACTCATCTTTCTACAGCAGATTCGCTTTTCTGACTTATTATTTACATTGACGAGAATTCAGTCGCGTACGTATGCCTTTACACAGCTATTCCGCTCGGATTTGGAGCCGTTTCCTTCCCTTACTTTTCTGGTACTCATCATTTCTCTGGACGCCAGCTTTCGTGGGCACTAAACTTTCGATGACGATTGGATCTACGAGTCGCAAATATCAAGCTGGTGATTAGGAGAGAACATATGGGTTGAAACACAAGCGAACCCAACCATTTTCCCTCCTGTAAATTGTCTTGCACTCCATTAGCGCAACTATATGCAGATGTGCTCATTGGCGATATTTAGGCTGCCACCGGGAAACCAGAACTCGCATGCAAGCGAGGTGCAGCTGAGCGCGTCAGGCAGAGCGTTGTTGAGTCGGACATCACCACAGGTGGGCGCGTTGGAAGCATAGACTGAATCGATAAGTCACTACATGATTGGTGTAGTGTATTCTCAAATGCCGATCAAATTGTTGTCTTTTGGAGACAAGAAACCGGGACCACGGATGGTAAATCCCTTCAAATTTTAGTAATTCATCAACTACTTATGTTCTATTGAGTAACAGCGCAAAATCGCAATATGTACTTTTCACGTGAGCTTACTTTAGTCCTTTTCCCTGATGTTTGTAGCTACTATCCATGAGCTCATTCTCTCTTGGTCATCACTTTCATAATTAAGTCGTATGTGTAACACTCTGCGAAGGATCCTGTGTCCTTGCTAACCTCGGTTTATTTTTTACGGCATCCTGCATACCCCAGGTAGCGAACTGCTCCTTCATTATCCTACAGCGGAGTGGCATGTGGAGGCGCATTACAGCGTTCCAATGAACTCACTTCCCCACTGATTCGAGGATTCATCACACTTCTTATCACGAATTTAATCTGGTTTGTACTATGGCATAAATGGCTGAAGGTAATAATACTAATAATAATAGGTATATTTCTCTTGAGAGAAATTGTCTATAGCGGCACAGATCAATTTGTACAGAAGAATCCATGCTCTTGCATAGGTGACATGCATAG